CTGTCGTGCAGCGACAAGACCGATAGTGATACGGGAGAGAGAGAGCGGAGCGAGGAGGGAGAGAGGCAGGCAAGGCCAGGGAAGGGGTGGAGGCAGGGAGGAGGGAGGCACGAGAAGAGGGAGGAGGAAGAGAGAGGGAGTCAGGCAGGCAAGGGGAAAGGGTGGAGGCAGGGAAGGTGAGGATTGGAAAGAGATGAGAGAGGCAGGCAGGAGGAGGAGAAAGGGATGGAGACAAGGGAGGGAAAAGGAAAGAGAGGAGGGAGGCAGGCAGGAGGAGAAAGAAAGGGGAGGAAGAGGCGTGGTAGCCAGATAGGAAAAAGGCGACGGAGAGAAGGAGGAAGGCGAGACAAGACAGCGACAGAAATGATGAAGAGGAATGAAGTAGCCCAGGGAGGAAGGAGGGACAATTACGCGTACTACTCCATTCCCCCTCCCTCCTCGCCCCATCTGCTGCCGCTTTCTAGTCGCATCTTGCACGCTGCAAGTAGAACGAGGCAAGGCTGATCGTTGAACTACGGCCCCGCTTTGCGATCGGCACACGAGTCTACCGCGTTTATATACTATACCTAGTAGACCGTACAGAAAATCACTCGGCTGAGCAGTTGATGTGCCTGCTCATTGGTTCATGGATCTAGCTCATGGTCACCTAGAGAAGGCCAGGCGGACAAGGGGTGCTTAACGCAGCGGCTCCGTGCGGGAAGGAGCGAGGGAGGCAAGCGAGATAGAGGAGAGAGGAGGGAGAGAGGAGAGCGAGACGAGAGAGAGAGGGAGAAGGTAGGAAAGAACTGGAAGGAGGGGGAGAGTGGGGAGAGCTGGAGGGAGGAGGGAGAAAGAGAGAGGAGGGAGAGGGGAGAGCGAGGGGAGAGCGGTAGGGAGGGAAGAGGGGAGAGGGAGAAGCGGGAGGAGGAGGGAGGAGAAAGGGAGGGAGAGCTCTCTCTCTCTCTCTCTTCTTCTTATATATATATATATATATATATATATATATATGTATATATTTATTTATTTATTTATCTATATCATATCATGTGTGTTTCTGTCTCTCTATCTCACTATATATATATATGGTGTACATTGATTGACATTGCCTATTCTAAATGCGCGAATAAGTTGTAGATTGAGTGTATAAGCATGCGCTCGCAAAATGTGACAGCGGGACGGATTACCGTAGCAGTAGTAGATCTCAGCTCCCGAGTCAACAGCCTTCATCGCCTTGACAACGAGCACATCCCCGTAAAAGCTGCAAGTCGTAATAACGGATGAGTCACGTAGCATGGGGTCAGACGGAATATCGGCCGCGGCAACAATATCCTATACTCTACCAAGAGATTAACAGGTACAGGACATTTTTGGTATGTGGTAGTAAACATTACCTAGTACATCACATACTACATAACGTGCTGCTCTTGCACTAAGATACGTTGCCATACCATTGTAGCGACGTAATATTATTGCCACCGGAAATTAATAGGCGACAGGCGTGCGTTTAACTTCCACTGGCATTAATATTATGTCGCTACTAGTAGTAATATTAGTAACTAGAAGTTTCTCTTGCACTAAGATAGTACACTGTTAGACATGCGCAGTGACATTTACGCCCAGTCGCCGCTTCACACCGAATTCAGCAGTCGTACTTCCAGATATGCGAATGCGAAGAGAGTCAACGTACACCAAGACCATCGAGGCAAAGTATGCATCGAGATCTTCTGCTTCCGAGCGGCAGCAGAGACTCGCCGCAGCAAGCGTCGCGACGCCGCCTAGCAACCCGTCGCGACGCCGCCTAGCAACCCGACGCGACGCCGCCTAGCAACCCGTCGCGACGCCTCCTAGCAACCCGTCGCGACGCCGCCTAGCAACCCGTCACGACGCCGCCTAGCAACCCGTCGTAACGCCGTATAGCAACCCGTCGCGACTCTGCCTAGCAACCCGTCGTAACGCCGCATAGCAACCTGTCGCGGCGACGCCTAGCAACCCGTCGCGACGCCGCCTAGCAACTCCTCGCGACGCCGCCTAGAAACCCGTCGCGGCGACGCCTAGCAACTCCTCGCGACGCCGCCTAGTAACCCGACGCGACGCTGCCTAGCAACTCCTCGCGACGCCGCCTAGAAACCCGTCGCGGCGACGCCTAGCAACTCCTCGCGACGCCGCCTAGTAACCCGACGCGACGCCTAGCAACCGCCTACGCACCTACAACCTCGTCGCACTCCCCAGCGAACCCGTCCGACGCTCACCGGTACACCCGGTCTCGACTTGCTAGCAACGACCGGCTAAACCCGCACTAGCCCTCCCTCACGCGACGCTACAACCCACGCGACGCGCTAGCAACCACGTCGCGGTCGGACGCCAGCAACTCGTCACGACGCCGTCTACAACACCTCGCGACCGCGTCCTAGCAACGCGTCGCGACGCCGCCTAGCACCCGACGCGACGGCCGCCTACAACCCTCACGACGCCGGCCTAGCACCTGCGTCGTAACGCCGGCATTAGCAACTCCGTCGCGTCGGCCTTCATATAGGCCAACCCGGCGCGGCACACCCTAGCTAATCCGACGCGACGCCGCCTAGCAACCGTCGCGGCGACGCCTAAGCAACCCGCGGCACGCTGCCGGACGTGCGCCACCGTACCTGTGACGACCATCGTTCGCAAGAGGATTCATACAATGCTCACGGATTGGATAGATGGGCACGGCGATCGGCGCGTCTGCTCCTGTTCTCGAGCACGGGCGCTCTCGTACGGTGGCGCCCTCGTGTACGTGGGCCCTCGGTTACGTGGCGGCGCCTCGTCAGCGGGGCTCGTGTCCGGTCCGTCCACTAGGGCGGTGATGCATGCGCGTGTGCACACCACCTGCTGGACATCGTGTGCAGCAGCGAACTCTGCGCAAACAATGATAACTGTGAAGGCAACGCTAAACATGATAATGCCCGTGAGCGCAGACGCTAACCATGGATTGCCTGTTGAGCGCAGACCTAACGCAGTGATGATCCGTGCGAGCAGACGAAACATATGATCGCGTGAGGCGGCAGCAACCTAAACATGATGATCCGTGATCGGCAGATGCGAAATCTATGCGATGCATGAGAGCAGACGCTAAACGAGTCATGACGCCAGAAGGCAGACGCAACAGATTGATCGCCCATGAGAGCAGAACGCTAAACGATGATAAGCCTGGTGACGGCCGGCAGACCAACTGATGAATAGCCGTGAGAGGCAGACCTAAACGATGATCTGCCGGTAGAGCAAGACCTAAACGATGATGATGCCGGACCGCAGAACGCTAAACGAAATGATGATTGCGTAAGCAACGCTAAACGATGACGCCCGGAGCGGCAGACGCTAAACGATGATGCGTGATACAACGCTAATACGAATGAGTCGTGAGCGCATGATGCAAACGATGAGGATGCCGTGAGAGCATACGCTAAACGATGATGATCCGTGAGAGGCAGACGCTAACTCTGATATCCGTGAGCGGCAGACGCTAAACGATGATGATGCCGTGAGCCCGCCAGACCTAAAATGAGATGCCGGCGAGCAGACGCTAAACGCATGAACGCACGTTGATAGGCAGAGACGCCAAACAGATGACCGTGAGCGCAGACGCGAAATATGATATGCGTAGCGCAGACCTAAACATGATTATGCGTGAGCAGCAGCCGCTAAACCGATGAGATGCGTGAGAGGCAGACCGCTAACGAGATGATTCCGTGAGCGCAAGCGCAAACGATGATATGCCTGTGAGAGGCAGACGCTAAACGTGAGCTGCCGGAGAGGCAGACCTAAACATGACCATGCCATGAAGGCAGACGCATAAACGATGAATGATGCCATGAGAGGCAGACGCTAAACGATATAATGCCGTGAGAGGGCAGACCGCTACACGATGATGATGCCATGAAGGCAGACGGCTAAACGAGATGATCCTGCATGAGAGGCAGACGCCTAAAGCGCTGATGATGCATGAAGGCAGACGCTACACGATGAGGATGCCATGAAGCAGACACGCTAAAAAGCGATTTTTGGGAAAAATGGAAAAATCGCCTGTGAGAGGCAGACCAAACAGATAATGCGTGAGCGCAGACGCTAAATGACTATGATCCGTGAAGGCAGATCGCTAAACGATGATATGCCCGGAGCGCAGACCTAACGATATGAGTCCGTGAGAGCAGACGCTAACACGATGAAGGAATGCCATGAGAGGCGACGCTAAGCGAATGATGATGGCCATGAGAGCAACGCTAAACCATGATGATGCCGTGAGAGGCAGACGCTAAACGATGATAATGCCGTGAGCCGGCAAGACGCTAAAAACGATGATGCCGGTGAGAGCGACGCAAACAGATGATCGGAAGCAGACGCTCTAATGCGATGATGACCTGTGAGAGCGACCTAAATGAGACGATGCCGTAGAGGCTGACGCTAAGCGATGATGATGCCGTGAAGAGCATGACGCTAAACATATGACTTGCATGAGAGGCAGACGCTAACATAGATCCGAGTGAGCAGCAGACGCTAACTACTATGAGCCGTGAGAGAGACGCTAAACGAATGAAATGATTCCGAAGCGCAGATAACGGCGAAGGCCACAATTAATAATAATCGTTTGCCCTCACCCGACCCAGGCGAAAAGTGGTAGGTAGGTAAGCTCTTTTTTTTATTTGAGGCGGGTCTTTACAAATTCGCATGGTGCACATAGTCTCGGGTAATATAATGTATAGCAGATTTATATAATACACGTGTCAGTGAATACAATTGAAAAAAAGAAAAAAAATGGAAAATCACTAAATAATTCGAGTCGCCCTTTTTGGCGGTCGGTCGCGGATGTGCAAACAAAGCAATATTTTATATGGCCTAAACCCAAGCATAGAACAACCGTAACCGAGCGATGAGAGCAGCCGCTAAACGTAAGCAGTGAAGCGGCCCGCAAACGAAGGCAGTGAGAGCAAACGCTAAAAACGCCAGCGGCAGGAGAGGCAGCCCGCCATAACGGAAGCATGAGAGCGCCGCTAAACGCAAGCATGAGAGGCCGCTCACTAAGCAGTGAGCGGCAGCCGCTAAACGTAAGCGATGAGAGGCGCCGCTAACGCGAAACAGTGAGAGCAGCCGCGAAACGTACGCAGTGAGAGGCAGCCGCTAAACTAACAGTGAGAGCAGCCGCTAAACGTGACCAGTGAGAGCAGCCGCAAACGAGCAGTGAGAGGCTGTCCGCTAAACCGTAAGCCAGTGAGAGCGGCGCAAACGTCAGCAGTGAGAGGCGGCCGCTAACGTGAGCAGTGAGAGGCAGCCCTAAACCAAGCATGAAGCAGGCCCGCTAAACGCAAGCCATGAGAGGCAGCATAGCCAGCCAAGGAATGCGCAGACACTGCCTTTCGTTCACGATTCACTGTCGAACGCATGCTATCTTACACACTCAGTGTTTTCTGTTTGTCCAGCCAAATTCACGCCTCGCACGTCTGTCCACATAGCTCAAGCATCCATACTACTACAACTCTCGTCCCTCGCCTCACACACATCCCTACTACCACAACTTCTCCCCTCTCCCACACACACTCCCTACTACCACAACTTCTCCCCTCTCCCACACACACTCCCTACTACCACAACTTCTCCCCTCTCCCACACACACTCCCTACTACCACAACTTCTCCCCTCTCCCACACCACAAACCCTTTCTTCTCAGTTTCACTCTTCTCTCACAAGCATTCCCTACCTGTACAGCTTCACTTCTCTCACAAGCATTCCCTATCTGTACAGCTTCACTTCTCTCCCTCACACACTCCCCTTCTTTTTCCCAGCACACACACCTATGTATGTGATGTCATCGCTGGAAAACGGCAAGCCGGCAGGAGGCGTGTCGAAAAAGGAAACCTTTTTCAGAAGTGTGAGCAGCAACACTGCACTCTGAAAACGTAAATTTAGTGTAAATGCGGAGCGTATACATACGCAGGGTGCGAAATTAACGGAGCGGAGTGCGAGTCCGGAGTCAAATACTCCCTGATTTACTGTCGGACTCCCTGATTTGACATATGCAGGAGTCCATGTGACTCCCTGAAAATTCTGCTATATACTAACTAGTTCGTTCCAAAGCACGGCTTCGCGGTATTACCGTATTTTTTCACCAAATGTCCAAAGAAAATTTGGCAGACGTGCAACCGCACGAATCTTCAAAATAAGCACATGCGTTATTGTTAATATCTTTAGTTTGGACTTCAGACTGTGGACTCCCCTCATTGCTGTGACCTCCCTCTTTTTGAGGGCAGGGAGTCCGTTGAACTCACTTGTTCAAAAGTTCATTTCTACCCCTGCATACGTATTCATATCTTTACTATATGTTGGATGCTGAGGATTTCTTGTGTGACAGACAGATGCGTACTGTAGCGTAACAGAAGTTGTCTTTGACGTTCAGATCTTCCTCATGTGTCATAAGGTTGTAGACAGACCTGTAGTGGTTGCCATAGAAACCCTGAGAATCGCACCCTTTTATGTTGTTGACCGAACTTTCCATTGACAGAGTCTTTCTGAATTCTGAAAATTTGAAGTAGAGTAACAATGATAGCATTTGAAACGCCACAGAAATGTTCATGCCATGGTGATAAAAGCAATGTTTAGATGTTGCTTAGATCCCTACCCTTCACCTCTTGCCTATCATGACAGCATAGCCTCGCGCAGACCTGCGATTTTTTCATGCAACTTGACAGCGATTCTAGAATCGCTGTAAAAATTGCTGTGAAATCACTACGTCTACGGGAATGTGCAACTGCAACCCGTATCGATTCTGGCCACTTGCGACGAGTTGCAAGAAATCAAACTTGTTTGATTTTGAGCGATTCGTCGCTCCCAATCGCTCCCAAATTGCCCTAGAATTGCTTCGAAATCGCATGTGTGCGCACACGCGGTGACACATCGACCGATCGCTTGCGGTTGCAGGTTGCAGCGACGAGCAACCAAAAATCGCAGGTCTGCACTAGGCTTAAGAGTGCACACAAAACCCAATGCGATATGTCACATCAAAAATATTTTGCATACATGCAGAATCACAAAGAATGAATGAATACCCTCACGGTAAGGCCACAATTAAAATATCTTTGTTTGCCTTCACCCGACCCAGGCTGAAAAGTTTGGGTAGGTAGGTAGGCTTTTTTTTACAAATTCAGCATGGTGTCTACATGCTCGGGTGTGCTTGTGTGGAGATACCTTTTATGTTGAATGTTTGTTTTGCTTGGTACATATAATGTATTGCCTACAGATTTATATAATATAGAGTGATACAATTTGTAAAAAAAAAAGAATGGGAAAGATCAATAATTTTTTTTTAGTCAGCCCCTTTTTGGCAGGTCGGTCGGGCGAGGGCAAACAAACAATATTGTTAATATGGCCTAATACCCACCTAGCAGAGAGTTGCCACCTGACATGAGAATAATCCGGAATGCAAGGTGAGCCACCCCTGTCTGGGAACAACAATAATGCAGGTATCATCGATATATAATAATATAATCACTGGTAGTTACTGGCTTCTACTGTTTACCTACTTTCACAGTTCTAAATGTGCCAAATGTGTGTGTGTGCATGCGCCGTGCGTGCGTGCGTGCGTGCGTGCGGGCGTGCGCGCATGCTGGCGCGTGTGCATGCATGTTTAACACATTCAGCGATATCAGTAATACAATTTCAATTTCATTTAATGGCCTGCACAGTGTCATTACAGCTTTGGAAGCGACTGACTGCCCTCAATCCACTAGTTGCTGTGACACCTCATTGGTTGAAAACTCCCCCCCCCCTATAGCATCACCTGCGCCAGCTCTCGATGAATATTCCGAGACGACAATTATCGACGCACACTCACAGCATAGAGAACATCCAGGTGGCAGCACTCGTACTTGTGGTAGGAATTCCACGAGGCATCCCTGCACGCCATGCTGCAATAGCGCACCTGTGTGCACTCGCGACACCTGGGGGCAAACAAGACATCAAATCAATCTTCCCACATCATTGACAATAACAACGCAAATTAAAAATAGACTTTGTGACAATGCGCACATACAGTATAGAAAAGGTACAATCTGCAATTCGACTCCAAATACGAAAAATATTAATCAAAGTGAAACCTTCCACATTACACCCACCTCCCTCCTGCTTAATCTCTTACCCGACGGGATAGGAAAGGCTGCGGTAGCAGTGGTGGCAGTGCGTTGTCTCATGATCCTGCAGCAGTACTGAGGCGTATGGCTTCTCCACAAAGAGGACGTCTCCGGCGGTGACGGCATCCCTGGCCTGCAGAGGGAAACGAACACCGATGGCTACAGAGCTGGTATTGACACCAGACTAGCTGGCAAATAGAGGATAAAGACCAGCTTAGGTGACGCTGCCAATGCGACTTAACTATCCACAACTGGTTGCCCGTGTTCAGCTGCAATGGAACACTCGCACACTCGGGTTGACCTTAGTACTAGTATGACCTTTCTCGATTGATTGTAACTAAAATGAAAGTGTCAATGACACTGTAGCTCCCCAGAAAAAAAGACACAAATGAGTGAGTAAGAAGAAGTCAGTTTTAATTGAGCAACCATCGACGTACATTATAGAAACGATTGCCATCTGTATATCGCAATAATTTATAAACCAAAATGAATCACAATTTGTGACCGTAGATGGCGCTATACCCGCTTTGTTGCGATGGCGTTTGAAATAAATAGGTTATGCTGCGTTCCGACATGTTTTGTAAAACTTTACTCTAATATAGACGTTTTATACTCTCCCCTCCTCTCTCCCCTCTTCCCTCCTCTCTCTTTCTCCCCTCCTCCCTCCAGCTCTCCCCTCCTCTCCCCTCCTCCCTTCCTCTCTCCCTCTCTCTCTCTCCCCTCCTCTCTCCCCTCCTCTCTCCCTCTCCCCTCCTCCCTCCTTCCCGCACGGAGCCGCTGCGTAAGCACCGCCCGGTCGCTGGCCTCTTCTAGGTGACCATGAGCTAATCCATGAACCAATGAGAGGCAATCAACGCCAGCCCGAGTGATTTCTGACGGTTATATATATATATATAAACGGTAGACCTTGTGCCGATCGCAAACGGGGCCGTAGTTCAACGATCAGCCTTGGCTCGGTTCTACTTAGCAGCGGCAAGGATGCGATAAAAGTGGGACAGATGGGCGAGGAGGGAGGAGGGGGAATGGAGTAGTCGTAATGTCCCCTCCCTTCCTCCCGGGCTACTTCATTCCTCTTCATCATTTCTTTCTGTGTCTTGTCTCCCTTCCTTCCTTCCTCCCTCCCTTTTTCCTATCTGCCTACCACGCCTCTCTCCCTCCTTTCTTTCTTCCTCCCTGCCTGCCTCCCTTCCTCTCTTCCTTTTCCCTCCCTGTCTCCATCCCTTTCTCCTCCCTGCCTGCCTCTCTCATCTCTTCCTCCCTCCCTCCCTGCCTCCACCCCTTCCCCTTGCCTGCCTGCCTCCCTCCTCTCTTCCTCCTCCCTCTTCTCGTCCTCCCTCCCTCCCTGCCTCCACCCCTTCCCCTTGCCTGCCTCCCTCCTCCCTCCTCGCTCCCTCTCCTCTCTCCGTATCACTATCGGCTTGTCGCGCACACAGCTTTGTTAGCAGCGAGTGCACCCGACCTGCTGTCGTGCCCTTGTTGTTCCCGCCGCCGCTGCCGACGCCGCTGTCGACGCCGCCGCCGCCGCGCTCCAGTAGAGAGTTATATTACCTAGTAGTTAATCAGACGGTGCGGCCGGTGCGCGGACAGGTCAAGGCAGGGCGGTTCGTCAGACGGAGGCGGTGCGGCAGCAGCAGCAGCAGCAGAAACACCTGCAGATCACCACGCGTACGAGGGTGGAATTAGTCCACGTATAGAGAGAGAGAGAGAGAGGAGAGAGAGACAGAGAGAGAGAGAGAGAGAGAGAGAGAGAGAGAGAGAGAGAGAGAGAGAGAGAGAGAGAGAGAGAGAGAGAGAGAGAGAGAGAGAGAGAGAAAGAGAGAGTGAGACGCTGCCGCCGGCATTCGTGTTATATTCGTGATATCTAAGCTAAATACAACCCCGATTACAGACCCCCCCCCCCGTTAAAGCCGCGACATACGACCACCACCCCCCCTGTTCGCGGTGTTTCGGTCCTGAATTCTCTTGCAGGGGTATTGTTACCGCCGGAGCTCTTTGTCGCTCGTTCCAACCACCTTGGGGATTGAGGGGTGGGCAGTATGGTAGAGAGATGGGTAGAAATATTAGGCTCGATGTGAATACATGGGTGACATCGTAGGGGGAAGAACAGAGGGCTGGGAGGGGGACATAACCATGCTACTAAAGGTGGACAGAGCAGTGGTTGACAGTTGACAGCACAGCTCGTCATCCTAAACGAGCAAATGGTGACAATATCAGCTTTATCACTATTAGATCACCCGTCCTTACCTCGCTCTGTGAACTATTTCACTTCACCCCTACCTTAAATCCAAACAACTGCCAAAACTGATTTCAGCACTGTGTTAGAGGGCATAGATGCTGCTGCACTGCGCAGTGGAAATAGTCACCAACCCTCCCGTGGGCCCGAGTATGAGTCCATTGTCAAAACTCGATCACGTATATTAATCCTTCATCCCTCGCACCGTAGATATGCCTCACCTGGTCTGTTCGTGCATGCTGCATCCTAGCATAATGTTGCATCCTAATGTTGCAGCCTAACATAATGTTGCATCCTAACATAATGTTGCATCCTAACATAATGTTGCATCCTAACATAATGTTGCAGCCTAACATAATGCTGCATCCTAACATAATGCTGCATCCTAACATAATGTTAAACTAAAATAACCTCTGCCGTTAGCTCAGCTGCCGCATCCCGCAGCAGTAATTAGCAGATAGCATAGTGTAGAACTATAGTATAGTATCTCCTCATAGTATGTATACATATTATAGTAGATTAGCACTAGAGTCTGCTAACTAACTGCTATAGTTGTCCGGAGATAACGAATGAGAACAACATCCAACTCGGTGTGATTCACCCTCACCCTCCCTCCCTCCCCCACCCACTCCAACATCGCTAGACGGGCACCACGTCCTCGCCGACGTCGTGCGCCGGACCGCTACCGGAGACGCCGGCGTCCGTCTAGCCGTCGCCCGTGGGCACACGGGGTGGCAACGGCAGAGCGGCGGGGCGGCGGAAGGAAGTGGGTCAGGCGCGGTGCGGGAGCGCGCAAAGTATGTCAGGCTCCCTCGTCAAGGCTGCTGCGGCGGCAAACTGTGCCAGAGCGGGTCATGCGGGGCTAGCGAGGCGGCCACGGCGGGCAGGTCAGTCCGTCACCACCCCCGCTCCGTGCGTTGACCTGCCCGCCTCCCCCTCCCCTCCCTCCTTCGTCCGAGGTCTGCGGCTGACAGAGAAGATCGAGAGATCGCTGGAGGGGAAACCGGTGCAGGAGAGAGGCGAGAGTAGTGGTGGTGGTGGTGGTGGGGGAGGGGGAGGGAGGAGAACAACAGCGAGAGTGAGACGCACGTATAGTGGTTGTCGTTAGAATGAATTAGTAGGTATATAGTGGGAGCTTGTGCGTAGTCTTCTTTCTATTTACAGGGTGATGAGTGAGGGGAAAAATTGCTCTAGTCTAGTGATGAGTCTATTGAATAGAGATGAACGAGAGAGAGAGGGAGAGAGATAGAGAGAGAGAGGGAGAGAGCGAGAGAAGATAATGAGATAGAGCGGATAGGCAGCGGGAGAAGGCGAGAGAGTGCGCGAGAGAGAGAAAGATTAAAGTAGTGACATGAGGGCATTAAGGTTATCATATGTTATTAGTCACACTAGAGTGGCTGGGCATCTGGTAACAACAACTTACATTAACGCAAGACCGTTGGCCTTTAGTGTACCCTTACAAGATGCAGAGCCTGCCGAAATTGATCTTGTGGTATAGAAAATCTAAAAACTTTAAATCTTTCAGGTGACGGATTTTCCTCACCAAGTAGGTCGATCTAGGACAACGAGTCCATTTAGGGCACAATACTACCATAATTTAATAGCAGGAGTATACATCGATTAAGAATAAAGCTAACAATCGATATGCATACCATTGTAGTGCTACAACAACAACACCAAAGATCACATAATATAATCTAATTTTCTGAGCTCTATGATACTACGGATAGTGAGAACAAAAATAATATAACCTACAGCAGATCATTTGTCAAGGCCGTCTCCACCCCCTAGCGACTTAATGAGAGTCAAACTGTGAGCTGACATCGCGTTAATGGCGGACATTTATAGGCTAAAATCGCTACAAACATCCCGCGGAAACTCTGAAGGTTAGCCAGCTTTGTCACAGATGCATTCTTCCCGGTCCTCGCAAGGAAAGGAGATAAAGTAGAGAGAGTAGAGAGAGAGAGAGAGAGAGAGAGAGAGAAGAGATCGAGACAGATACAGAGAGAGAGACAGATACAGCAGAGAGAGACGAGAGCGGCGTGTAGGGCTAGTGCTGGCCACCCTGGTCGATGCTACGTTTCATTAATTTAAACTTGGGTACGTAAAACGCTTGCAATCACACACCCTAACGCGCCGGGCTATAGAAGATAAGAACTAAAGTCTTGCACTAATAATTTCAAATGCATACGTATACCCTAGCAGAATATTCGATTTAACCGCATCACTATCAGCAGGTCTTCCCTGGATTTCAGTAGGCATAGTTAGAGGAAATCAGGCAATACATCCCTGGGGCCCGTTGTCAGAACAAAAATTGTCGTTAAACAGTTAACTTAGAATTAAGTCTTAACATTAATTAGAAGTAAAGCATTAATTTAGTCTTAACATTAACTTTTTCTCTTGAGCCGTCGACAGAAACGCTGCGAAAGTTACCCTGAATGAAAAATCGGTCGCAGATATTTTTTTTTTTCCTTTTTTTTTTTTTTTTCCTGATTAACAATACGACACACAAGGCGCTGTAGACCGTCTACGAGAAAATGTTATGTTAAGACTAATTTGTTGTCTGACAACGCGGGTCCAGATGGCTAATTAATTCACGCGTCGTTAGGGCGCCCAATACACAGGTAAAGTCATGTCAATACTATCAAGCTGTGAAAACACGACGCATGACTGCAAATATGTTAAACCACAGCCGGAAACTAAGGGCATGTCTGATTCGGCCACTTAACAGTGATTGACTCACCGTACATCACGTAAGCTAACAGAATTATGTCGCACTGTTTTCACAAAATGTAAGGCGATTCTGTCACTTTTTATGGTTTAACTTTGCGCTGCATTATAACTTCCTATTTTGCTATTCGTTCGACGTGAACAAACACTCGGACTCAATGCGCACAGCGGCCATAGCAAGCATTTAAATGTCATGATAAATAATCAAATTGCCCCAGATTTTTTAGATTTTGAACTACGAAACAAATCCTCATCAGGTAAATAATTTAGGAATACATTTAGTCCGTTATTACTTACTTTTCCATGTAAAAAATTGCAATTTTTTTTTACATAACCATATAATACCATAGAAAATTCATGACGTAGACAAATTAAGGAACATCGCGAAGAATTTGAAGGGACGTCACTAGGTAACTAGGCTTCGCGGACTGCACTAGAACAGCCCGGCCGCTCTCGGGTTAGCTTACCCTAATTACGAAATGCGCAGCGATCTTACTACCGAGACACACGCTCAACGCTTGAAGGCGTTTCAACGTAATGTCATCGGCGATTGGTACTGTACGGCATCAACCGTAAATTACCTTCATGTCAGCTATAGCGCCGCCTATCGGCACGATTAAGGAACTAATGGTAGCCGACTACCACTCCGGGTTAACAACCGCCCACCGCCGTGCGCGCATGATTAATGAGCAGTGCTAGACCCGCAGACAGGATCTTAACCCGTCGGGTTAGCTTAACCAGCTAGCGCGGACCGTCAACATCAGGGCGCCAGGCTTAGAGCTATTCCGGGTTAAGGCTGCAACCCGGGTTATGCGTGGAACCGCGGGGAAAAGCGGCCGTCGTGTAGACGCTTCATCCGAATATAACATCCTCGTGTCGACGCAGGCTAGCGGCTACACTACATATGCTAAAAGGCCGGCTGACTACCGGATGGCAGCTGCGGTCAGTAACATGAGCTAGAAGATTAGTAGACGCTGGCGCTCGCTCGGTGTCGCAGTGTGGAAGCGACGCGCAGTCGGAAGAAGTACTGCTGGCCTGAGCCGCGCGCAGGAGACTGCGCTCATGCGTCGTCGGCATGCGCCGGCTAGCAGGACCTAGGTGAGCGTGAAGCGGGCACCGCTCCTTCACACACTCCACAGGCTAGCTTGCTTAGTGCCGCTAGGTGAGGCCACGCGATGCCGTGACACGCCAGCGCCTAGAAGTAGCGTGGTATAAGTCGAATAGGTTGAGAATGAGTTTTCCTCTCGGGGGGCCTCTCGGTATCTCGCTCTCTCGCTCTCTCTCTCTCTCTTCTCTCTCTCTCTCTCTCTCCTCTCTCTCTCGGCTCTCTCTCTCTCTCTCTTTCTATATCATATATATATATAATATATATATCATATATATATATATGTATATATTATTTATTTATTTACTCTATATGCATATCATGTGTGTTTTCTGTCGTCTCTATTTTCTCACTATATATATATATGGTGTACAGGTTGATTGACATCTGCCTACTTCTAAATGCGCGAATAAGGTTGTAGATTGAGTGTATAACCATGCGCTCGCAAATGTACAGCGGGACGATTACCGTAGGCAGTAGTAGATGCTCAGCTCCGAGTCAACAGCCTTCATCGGCTTGACACGAGTCACATCCCCGTAAAGGCTGCCAAAGTCGTAAATAACGGATGATCACGTAAGGCATGGGGTCAGACGGAGATATCGGCCCGGGGCGCAACAATATGCCTATACTCTACCAGAGATCTAACAGGAGCAGGGCCTTTTTGTATGTGGTAGTAAACATTACCTAAGTACATCACATATCTAGCATAACGTGCTGCTCTTGGCTAAGATCCGTTGCCATACCATTGTAGGCGACGTATAAGATACTTACTTTGGGCCACCCGGAAATTAATCGCCGACAGGCGTGCGTTAACAGTTTTTATAAGATGTCGATTTTTTGGAGGGGTGAGTCGATGAGAAGGGTATATGATATTTGTGTGGTGTGTTGGGTGCACGACAATTGTGTTATTTTTCGGGATGTGTATCGCGACGAAACGTGGACGATTAAATTATGTCGGCCTACTAGTAGTAATATTATGTAACTAGAAGTTTCTCTTGCAGCTAAGATAGTACACGTTAGACATGCGCAGTGCACATTTACGCCAGTCGGCCGCTTCCACACCGAATTCAAGCAGTCGTACTTCAGATAATCGGCGAATGCGAAGAGAGTCAACGTACACCAAGACATCAGAGGCAAAAAGTATGCATGCGAGATCTCTGCTTGGCCGAGCGGCAGCGAGACTCGCCGGCAGCAAGCGTCGCGACGCGCCTAGCAACGCTCGCGACGCCGCCTAGCACCGACGGCGACGCCGCCTAGCAACCGGGCGTCGCGACGACCTCCTAGGCAACCCGTCGCGAGCCGCCTAGCCACCCGCTCACGGAACGCCGCCTAGGCAACCCGTCGTCCACGCCGTATAGCAACCCGTCGCTCGCGACTCTGCCTAGCAACCCGTCGTAACGTCGCATAGCAACCTGTCGCGGCGACGCCTAGCAACCCGTCGCGACGCCGCCTAGCAACTCCTCGCGACGCCGCCTAGAAACCCGTCGCGGCGACGCCTAGCAACTCCTCGCGACGCCGCCTAGTAACCCAACGCGACGCCGCCTAGCAACTCCTCGCGACGCCGCCTAGAAACCCGTCGCGACGCTTCCTAGCAACCCGTCGCGACGCCGCATAGCAACGCGTCGCGACGCCGCCTAGCAAACCGTCGCGACGCCGCCTAGCAACCCGTCGCGACGTCACCTAGCAACCCGTCGCGACTCCGCCTAGCAACCCGTCGCGACGTCACCTAGCAACCCGTCGCGACTCTGCCTAGCAACCCGTCGTAACGCCGCATAGCAACCCGTCACGGCGACGCCTAGCAACCCGACGCGACGCCGCCTAGCAACCCGTCGCGGCGACGCCTAGCAACTCGTCACGACGCCTCCTAGCAACCCGTCGCGACGGCTCCTAGCAACGCGTCGCGACGCCGCCTAGCAACCCGACGCGACGCCGCCTAGCAACCCGTCACGACGCCGCCTAGCAACCCGTCACGACGCCGCCTAGCAACCCGTCGTAACGCCGCATAGCAACCCGTCGCGTCGCCTCCTAGCAACCCGGCGCGGCGACACCTAGCAATCCGACGCGACGCCGCCTAGCAACCCGTCGCGGCGACGCCTAGCAACCCGTCGCGACGCTGCCGCACGTGGCGCCACCTACCTGTTGACGACCATCGGTTCGCAAGAGTGATTCATCATGCTCACGATTGGATAGATGGCAACGGCGATGCGCGTCTGCTCCTGTGTCTCGAGCACGGTGGCGCTCTCGTGTACGGTGGCGCCCTCGTGTACGGTGGCGCCCTCGTGTACGGTGGCGCCCTCGTGTACGGTGGCGCCCTCGTGCAGCGGGGTCGTGTCGGTCGTCAGCAGGGCGGTGATGGCATGCGCGTTGCACACCACCTGCTGGACATGTCGGTGCAGCAGCGAACCTGCGACAAACAATGATGATGCCGTGAGAGGCAGACGCTAAACGATGATAATGCCGTGAGCGGCAGACGCTAAACGATGATGCCGTGAGCGGCAGACGCTAAACGATGATGATGCCGTGAGAGGCAGACGCTAAACGATGATGATGCCGTGAGCGGCAGACGCTAAACGATGATGATGCCGTGAGCGGCAGATGCTAAACTATGATGATGCCATGAGAGGCAGACGCTAAACGATGATGATGCCATGAGAGGCAGACGCTAAACGATGATGATGCCATGAGAGGCAGACGCTAAACGATGATGATGCCGTGAGAGGCAGACGCTAAACGATGATGATGCCATGAGAGGCAGACGCTAAACGATGATGATGCCGTGAGAGGCAGACGCTAAACTATGATGATGCCGTGAGAGGCAGACGCTAAACTATGATGATGCCGTGCAGCGGGCAGGACACGCTAAACGATGATGAGCCGGTAGAGCGGCAGACGCTAAACGATGATGATGCGTGCCCGAGGCCGACGCTAACCGATGATTGATGGCCGTGAGAGGCAGTACTGCTAAACGATTGATGATGTCGTGAGCGGAAGATCGCGAAATGATCGATGTGCCGTGAGAGGCGGCGCTTGCTAAACGATGATGATGCCTGTGAGCGGCAGACCGCTAAACGATATGATGCCGTGAGAGGCAGACGCTAAACGATGATGATGCCGGTGAGCGCAGACGGCTAACGATGATGATGCGTGAGAGGCAGACGCTAATCGATGATGATGCGCGTGAGAGGCAGACGGCTAACGATGATCAGCATGAGAGGCAGACTCAAACGATGATGATGCCATGAGAGGCAGACCGCTAACGATGATGATGCGTGAGAAGAGACGCTAAAAACGATGATGAGGCCAATGAGAGGCAGACGCTAAACGATGATGATGCCATGCAGAGGCAGACGCTAACGATGATGATGCCATGAGAGGCGACGCTAACAGATGGATGATGCACTGAGAGGCAGACGCTAAACGATGATGATGCCGTTGAGAGCAGACGCTAAACGATGAGAATTGCCGTGAGCGGCAGCACGCTAAATGATGATGAATGCCGTGAGAGGCAGACGCTAAAGATGATGATGCCGTGAGGGGCAGAGCGCTGAAACGATGATGATGCCGTGAGAGGCAGACGCTAAACGATTGATGATGCCATGAGAGGCAGACGTAACGATGCATGATGCCATGAGAGGCAGACGCATAAACGATAAGGTGATGCCGTGAGAGGCAGACGCTAAAGCGATGATAATGCCGTGAGCGGCAGACGCTAAACGATGATGCGTGAAGGCAAGACGCTAAACGATGATGATGCGTGAGAGGCGAGACGCTAAATGATGATGATGCGCGTGAGAGGCAGACGCTAAATGATGAGCGATGCGTGAGGCCGCGTGAGAGATGCCTACGAGCAGACGTAACGATTGATGATGGCCATGAGAGGCAGACGCTAAGTATATGCAAGAGTGGAACGAAAGCTATGATGATGCGCGTGAGAGGGCAGACGCTAAACTATGATGATGCCGTTGAGAGGCAGACGGCTAAAACGATGATATGCCGTTAAGCGGCAGATCGCTAAAGGCCACAATTAGATAAAATCGTTTGCCCTCACCGCGACCCAGGCTGAAAGGCGGGTGGAGTGGGTTGGTAGGTAGGTAGGCTTCTGTTTTTTTTATTTTGAGGGCGGTCTTTGTTACAAATTTCAGCATGGGTGTCTAACATGCTCGGGTATATATAGTATAACAGATTTATATAAATGTTCACAGTGGTCCAGTGATTACAATATTTGTAAAAAAAAAAAAAAAATGGGAAAGCAATCAATAAATGAATTCGAGTCGGCCGCCTTTTGGCGGGTCGGTCGGTCTGAGGCAAACAACAATATTTTTATTATGGCCTAAAACGCAAAGCCAGTGAGAAAGCAACCGTTATAAGCACGAAGAGCGCCGCAATAGCGATGAGAGCAGCCCGTCTAAACGAACAGTGAGAGCGCCGCAGAGTCGTGAGAGCGACGCTAAACGCAAGCAGTGAGAGGCAGCCGGCTAAAACGTAAGCAGTAGGAGGCGGCCCTAAACGCAAGCAGTGAGAGGCGGCCGCTAAACTAAGCATGAGCGGCAGCGCTAAACGTAAGGCAGTGAGAGGCAGCCGCTAAACGGAACATGTGAGAGGCAGCCGCCTAATCGTAAGCAGTGAGAAAGCAGGCCGCTAAACGTAAGCAGTGAGAGGCAGCCGCTAAACGTGAGCAGTGAGAGCGGGCCGCTATAAAGCGCAAGCAGTGAGAAGGGCGGCCGTAAACGTAAGCAGTGAGAGGCGGCCCGCTAAACGTAAGCTAGTGAGAGCGCCCGGGGCTAAAGGCGTGAGGGCAGTTGAGAGGCAGCGCTATAACCGCAGCAGTGAGAGCACGCCGCTAAACGCAAGGGCAGTCGAGCAGGCAGATGCAGCCAGAGGAATGTGCAGACGACTGCTTGCTTCGTTTCACGATTCCCTCGTTCGAACCATTGCTATCTTACACACTCAAGTGGTTTTGTTTGTCCGCAGTCCAATTCACTGCCTCAGCACGTCTCAGCTACATAGCGTGTCAGCTTCCCTACTACCACAACTTCTCTCCTG